TATTTTTAGGCGTAAACAATAAGTTCATGACACTTATTACCCAAGAATACAAGTTGTGTTACATTGCGTAAGTTAACAATTCGGACGGTCGAATTCTTTGTCGAATCTGACCTTAAAATTATAGATGGAGGTGGTTTCCACAACTTTTTTCAGTGTATTCCATTTGTTGACCTTCCATATATTGGCACGTTTAGCTTCCATTTTCTCTCAGTGTAGAGAGGCTGTTCTTGCAGTCCCTTCCTTTCAGTATCTTGTATGTTGTGATCATATTCCCTCTATTTCAACTTGGCCAACATAAGAACGGCCTTTAGTAACTTATGTAAGGAATCATTCAGAGCCTTGTATATCACATACGTCAGACCAATCTTGGAGTATGCAGCTCCAGCATGGAGTCCGTATCTCTTCAAGCACAAGACTAAATTGGAGACGGTTCAGAAGTATGCCACCAGACTGGTACCTGAGCTGAGGAGTATGAGCTACAACCTCCCCCTCCCCCCTCTCCACGTTTCTAAGATCATGTTAGTAAACAACATCTTCCCTAAAGAAGAGTTCCTCAGATGTGTGCACGCTAAACACGGAAGCTGCCGTGAGGGTCGCGCTGTGTGTTCACCAGGGCTGTGTTCACTATGGGCTGTGTTCACCAGGGGTTGCCCTGCCCGGGGATCGAACCCAGGACCAAACACCACAAAGGGCGTGGCTATAATTATCAGATGCGGTCATCACGTGGCGAAACCAGCAGGTCAGACGTCGTCAGCCTCATCCAAGTTTTCAAAATGATATATGGGTGGTGTGGGAGTGTCGTAGGTAAGTCGAGTTCGGCCCTATAAGAAATATCAGCTCGTATTTTTAAAAATTAATGAAGTCTTAATTGGGGATTTGTATTAAATAGAATTTTTAACCTCTAGAATTCTCTCTCTCTCTCTCTCTAGAGAGAGAGAGAGAGAGGTGCAGAGGGGAAAGAGCTTTGACGATAAACCATCCTACCTCTGTATTAATTGCTGTATTAAGTGCTTGAAATCATTATATTCATACGGAAAGGCATTAATTAATACGTGCTTCACTGCATTCACTTGCAGTGGCAGGTGTTCAATGTGCTGTTGCACGCTCTTACTCTTGATGGGAGATGTGTGCTCTCATTTGCGGGTGTGTGCTTGAGAGCGCATAATCCTCACTCTCCCCTCCCCCCTCCTCCCCAGCCATCACCCCACACAGTGACTGTGGGAAAATTAAGCAGTATTCAATAACACTGCTTAATCATGCAATAAAGAAGAGATGACTCGGTGCCCCGTCTTCAGCGGAGGCTGTCACGGCATCTCTTATTGGGTGTGGAGTCTGGCTGTAGCTTACCTGTCCATTCTCCCTGTCCCTGGCCCCGTCTGTCTTACAGTCAGGTTATAAACGGGTACTCGGTCACTTCCTCTCTCTGTCTCTCTCTCACCAACCCCTCCCCCCCTCTCTCTCTCTCTCTCTCTCTCCCTCCCTCACCCCCCTCTCTCAGTTTCTCTTCCCTTCAGCTCTTGCGTTTGGGTAATTCCTTTTCCTTGTTCTCAGACCTGCAGTGATTTCACTCAGACTTTAATATGGTCATGGAATGGTGTTTTTCTAGCTAGTGTGTGTGTGTGTGTGTGTGTGTGTGTGTGTGTGTGTGTGTGTGTGTGTGTGTGTGTGTGTGTGTGTGTGTGTGTGTGTGTGTGTGTTTCAGTTTCGGAAGCCATTTTGTAGCAAACCTTTGCACCTTTTCCAGTTTATTGATGTGTTTCTTGACATATAAGCACCATACAACTGCCGCATATTCCAATTTTTAGTCTCACAAAAGTCATGAACAGTTTCTTTAGTATTTCATCATCCATGTAATTAAAAGCGAGTCTGAGGTTGGTAAGCGACGCATTCCTCCTCTCACAGTGTTCTTCATGTGTCCCTTTTGTTGAGTCAGTGTGTGTGTTTACCACAATGAGCTCCCCTAGTGAGCAGGCGATGAGTCACAATAACGTGGCTGAAGTATGTTGACCAGACCACACTGAGATGGAAAATTCACTTTCGCAAACAGAGTGGTAGACGGTTGGAACAAGTTAGGTGAGAAGGTGGTGGAGGCCAAGACCGTCAGTAGTCTCAAAGCGTTATATGACAAAGAGTGCTGGGAAGACGGGACACCACGAGCGTAGCTCTCATCCTGTAACTACACTTAGGTAATTACACACTAGAAGGTGAAGGGACGACGACGTTTCGGTCCGTCCTGGACCATTCTCAAGTCGAGAATGGTCCAGGACGGACCGAAACGTCGTCGTCCCTTTACCTTCTACGGTCTGGTCACCTAAGTGAACTCTAGAGTCGAGTGCTAGTTCCTGGGCCCAACTAGCTGAGGGGGAGGGAGGGAGGGTCTCAGGTAGCGGCTCCAGAGTCTCAGTTCCCGCCACAGGTTTTATCTTAGGTGTCCTGCCACAGGTTCCCCTCCCCCTCCTCCTTCGCTTTATTGTGTCTATAACGTTAACAAAATGTTTATATAATTATTAAACTCATTTAGGCGTCAAGGTTCTCTCTTTATCCCCCATGTCTTACACTGTCTTATACTGAACATGTTCTCTGTCACCCTGTTCATCCCTATCTTATACTGAACATGTTCTCCGTCACCCCTGTTCAACCCTGTCTTATAGTGAACATGTTCTCCGTCACCCTGTTCAACCCTCTCTTATACTGAACATGGTCTCCGTCGCCCTGTTCAACCTTGTCTTATACTGAACATGGTCTCCGTCGCCCTGTTCAACCTTGTCTTATACTGAACATGGTCTCCGTCACCCCTGTTCAACTCGACCTTACACTGAACAAGATCAGTGTAAAGCAGGTTCACTTAAAGAACTAAACTACGAACAAATGTTAACATTAACGAAACCAACCCTCACATCTCTGGAAAAAACAAGAAACAGAGAGGGGACATGATCACAGCATTCTAAATACTGAGGCGAATAGACAAAACGGACGAGAACCGGCTTATTTTAACTTGGAAAGAGGACATAAGAGAAAAAGACATGTTAGGAAATACCTGTACCTTGTACGGTGGGCAACAAGCGGAATTGCACTGAAAAAAAGTTGTAGAAGCCACCTCCATCCACCATTTTTAAGGCCAAACTCGGCAAAGAATTCCAACTTGTGAATAATTAAGGAACAACGCAGGTAGTACAACAAGGTTGGTAGGCGGGACATAAAGGGTCCAGTCAGGTACTGCGAGACAGCCACAGTCAGGTACTGCGAGACTGCCACAGTCAGGTACTGCGAGACAGACACAGTCAGGTACTGCGAGACAGCCACAGTCAGGTACTGCGAGACAGCCACAGTCAGGTACTGCGAGACAGCCACAGTCAGGTACTGCGAGACAGCCACAGTCAGGTACTGCGAGACAGCCACAGTCAGGCAGCCACAGTCAGGCAGCCACAGTCAGGTACTGTGAGGCAGCCACAGTCAGGTACTGTGAGGCAGCCACAGTCAGCTACTGTGAGGCAGCCACAGTCAGGTAAGCACAAAGGTCTGTGGGTCAGTCAGGTGTGAAAATAATTACGCGTCCGCGACCCTCTGAGGCGAGCACCTTCCGTCTCCACCAGAACACCTGTGACCTTTCCATGTCACTTCCCCCCCCCCCCCTCCCAGACCTCCGTCACACCGGCGCCTCGTCACTCGCGAAAGGAAAAGTTTTCTAGAAGGAATCTATAGAACCAGGTGTGATCGGCGGAATGTCCGCCTTGCTGACACTATCTACATTTACAAGGGAAGGTTCATACATACATCTAAGGTAATTATCAGAACACACTAAGCTAGTACGGCTATATACAGCACTTGGGAGGGATACGTGGATAAGGGTTTAGGATAGGAAAAGGGTGAAAGAATGGTGCCCAACTATCAAGATTGTAACTTGTTTATCTATATGAATTTTGGGGTTCAGTCCCCTGAGCCCATTATGTGCCTCTGTAACCCTTTCCTCTACCGCCCACACGATAGGTATTGGGTGCAAAATAAATTGACTAAACCACTTGGACGGTCGGCTCAGAATGTTCGGTAATATGCTTATTACAATTAACTTATTTTAATAAGTTTGAGGGGGATTGAACGTCGACCTACATGAAGCGAGACCGTCACTCTACCGTCCAACCCAAGTAGTCAAGAAAACCTGGTTGATACCTGGTTGATGGGGTTCTGGGAGTTCTTCTACTCCCCAAGCCCGGCCCGAGGCCAGGCTCGACTTGTGAGAGTTTGGTCCACCAGGCTGTTGCTTGGAGCGGCCCGCAGGCCCACATACCCACCACAGCCCGGTTGGTCCGGCACTCCTTGGAGGAATAAATCTAGTTTCCTCTTGAAAATGTCCACGGTTGTTCCGGCAATATTATAATACAAACATGTGAAATCCAAAAATATGTTTATGAGGCTATGTTTAGCACCTCGACAAACATGAACGTTGAAGAGTTTGACAGAGAAATTGACAACATGACGAGGAATTTGACAAAAATGTAAAGTGCCAGTAGCACGAGTACTCAATGTAGTAGAAGAAGAGCCTGGATGTAGAGGAGATACGAGAAGCACTTAAATCAGCAGATATATAGCTCCTCTACACAAGGGAGGGAGCAAACCACTCGCTAAAAACTATAGACCAGTCCCACTACCATCACACATAATATAAGTTTTTGAAAGAGTGATCAGGAGTCTGATCTCCATTTACATGGCGAACAATGCCTTTTACAACCCAGGTCAACGTGGATTTAGTGCAGGAAGATCATGCCTTTCGCAACTACTCGACAATGAGGAAATTACGGAAGCACAAGAACAACTATAACGGAAATGTGGTATACGCGGACTTTGCAAAGGCATTTGATTAGTGAGACCATAGAATGAGAACATACAAAATGAGATCAATTGGATTAACAGGTAATAATATTCAATTTCCTGTCAAACAGAATGCACAGATCAATATCAGATCAGATCCACCAGTCTCCGTGGTGTAGTGGTAAGACACTCACCTGGCGTTCCGCGAGCGCTTTGTCATGGGTTCGTATCCTGGCCTCTTGTATATATCTAAAAAAAAAAAAAAAGGCAATTAAACGAAATCAAGTCCAAATGCAGTAAAAAGCTCTGTACCTGTATCAGAACAGAGCACAGTACAGACTGTACTCTATACAGTCTTTACATAACTGCTTTTTCTTATTCTCATATCAGATACAGACAAAAAATACAAATCGCAGCCTAGTGTCATCTGCAGACAAAAAAATCTCCAAGAAAATGACTTGTGTAGAAGTGTATTTGTTCTGCATAATTTGATACCACATAGTAAACCCATACATGGGGCCCACACAATATACTCCCTCCCGAGGCTACTCAATTATGACGAACAGGCCCTAATTATTTATGACGCTGCTTGAAGGTATAAACCTTGGTTATTAGTGGTGGGTTAATTATCGCTCTCTCTGTTTATAACAGTCGTTATCTTTATTAAATTGTTTAGCAGCCTGGTCAAGGACGACATCTTCCAACTCCTTACGAGAAAACTCATCATTCACAACAGGCTAATCACCTAGCTGAGTGACCGTGCCGTTCACGCACTGGTGGTTGGGTCCGAGTTCGGGGCTTCTATGCTATATGGGTAGCTCACGTTCTCTTGATTTGTCAGTACTTAGAAAACACAACCTGCTAACTTAACTAGGAACGTACAAAGTCAAGCAACCCACTAAACCTGTCACTCCTATTTTGATCAGCTTTATACTTTATACACATTCAGAATTACATTTCATCATTATAAATTCTCATTAATGCATTCATAAATCTGTGTATGTATTTACGTATGTAGCTTAGCCTAACATTTTAAAAGCACTACGATCACCTTCTGTGGTTCAATAAATCTCTGAACTGTATTTTGACAAATCTTTCACCCTGTCCATGGAGGACAGAAGAAAATGTATATAGTATATGTTAGTTAGCATTGTAAATGTGTGGCCACGTCTGTGGTAGGAAAAAAAAAGAAAAAAACTAATCTGTAGGGAGGGCTCTGTGACCCCTGGTACCAACATCATGCCTTCTCAGTCGATAATAATGGCATCCTTTAGAATACTTACAACTTGCATATTTAGCCCATCTTAGGAAGGTCAAGGAGCCGTGTCACGACCCCTCTTCCCACTTCTAAATAAAAAAACACTCATCCCCCCACACCACTGCAAAGGTTCAAGCATGTACAGTGGTGCTTTTTCGGCCAATAAAAACAGGCCTTTGCCAGAAGGGCGTTGCTCTGATTGGCCGTAGAAAAGCCCGCCAATACATCTCAATTGGGACAGGCGGGCGGCATCTCCTCAAGGATTAGGGAGTCATTCAAGCATTGACAAGCCTAAGAGGAAGATGTCCCTTGATCTCTAGGCAGAGGAATAGTGTCAACTTAACTAGCGTTACGTCAAGTTATCCAACAGCAGCAATAGGAAGTCATCAGTCTCAACAAATCAACATCTGTACTATCCTCAACAACATGAAGGAATTAAGAACAAATATCGCCCTTTATCAGAAGCCACTTTAGTTCTCATGAACCCGTGGAACAAGAGAGATCAGTTACAAAAAATACTGATAACAAAAATAACTGAAAATTCATTCCAATCTCATTTAGTCCTTTACCAAATCAAACAATCAGTTTGGTAATCAAACTATACATGGTTGTAAAACAAATACTCTATACACAATGCTTTGAACACATTGTAAGCACGTCACCAGCCTAGCGGCAGAAATACACAGCCTATTCAAATTAAAAAAAATATACAGCAAATATATTTATATCAAAATACTTCTCACCTTGGGAGATGAAGCATAGTGCATAGTTCATTGCACGCTGTGGCTGAATATAGACGAGTCAATGAATATAATTCCAATAAGCACTTTATCATTCCTTAGACACGAGGATACGACACACTCTCTCCGGACAAGAGCGTCCCTCACCCGACAGTGAAGGAAAGTGGATTAAGAGGTGGACTTTTAGTACAATCCCTCACTTCGCAACGCGTCCGTGTAGCTCTTAATAGTAGTTGGGGTAGTTTGTCTTCAAATTAACGATTGTTGTTCAGTACCACTTTGTCTCACTCTTGCTGAATGTCGCAGCATTCAGTAACGTCATTTTGAACAATGATGAGTACGAATACTGGAGCTGTATGATGTACGTACTCATGAACAACATATTCATACTGTGAGTATGAGAGGTTGTTTACGTATTCATATGGCCGGTATAATTCATATTGCTCCTCCATACTCCAAATTTGTTGCTGAAATCTATAAACGATCAGAATACTAGTTAGTCGTCGACTTGTGTTTCACTTCGACTACTGTCAATTAATCTGTGAATTAAATCACCAATTACACGACACTGTTATTGCCGACTATATGATCTTTAAGTTAGTTTTTGTCGATGTTGTTTGGGGCAAGAGAGAGAGACAGAATTTACCAGTACCACATATGGACCGTTTAATATTCACAAATGCTGGGATTGGTATCAGTAATTCATCGGCAAATGCTACTTCTCTTCCTCAATTCCGTCATGGAATTGTGGTATTAAAAGTAACGTCCACAAGACTATTGAAGAGTGTAGGATTTAACACAGCTCAAATTCTATGTAATAATTATGGAAAATGAACCTAATTCTTCACTAAGGCCATCAAAACAAACTGTCCCAGAGTCTAATAGAGGCAAGCTCCCGTAGCCTCATGAAAACATGACACAAAAATAAAGGAAAGTGCATTTCTTATTGGTCCATGTGAGGTTAATTATTCCCAAACTGATTCATTATCTATATATCTAACCTTCACTTGAAACGATCCAATTATCCCACATCTATTTTACCCCCACCTTGTGATTTGTTTGAAAAAAAAACTGCCCTATTTCGAAATCAATATTTATTTGCATTTTCAAAATATCTGATATATCGGATATTTGACTCCTGGGCGTGATTTTTGAGCCGAATTCTGGATCTCTGCGCCTATTTGCAGTTTTCAATTGCGACTTTTTATACCGAAAATATGCCAATTACTGATAACGGCGATGGGTCATATTTTGCCCAAACCCCCCTGCAGTTTTCAAAATATCTGAAATATCGGATATTTGACTATTGGGCGTCACTTTTGAGCCGAATTCTGGCTCTCTGCACCTATTTGCAGTTTCCAATTACGACTTTTTATACCGAAAATATGTCAATTATTGAGAACTGCGATGGGTCATATTTTGCCTAAACCCCTCTGCAGTTTTTAAAATATATGGAATATCGGAAATTTGACTCATGGGCGTCATTTTTGAGCCGAATTCTGGCTCTTTGCACCTATTTGTAGTTTTCAATTACGACTTTTTATACAGAAAATATGCTAATTACTGAAAACGGTGATTGGTCATATTTTGCCCAAACCCCCCTGCAGTTTTCAAAATATATGGAATATCGGAAATTTGACTCATGGGCGTCATTTTTGAGCCGAATTCTGGCTCTCTGCACCTATTTGCAGTTTTCAATTACGACCTTTTATACCGAAAATATGCTAATTACTGAGAACGGCGATGGGTCATATTTTGCCCAAACCCCCCTGCAGTTTTCAAAATATCTGAAATATCGGAAATTTAACTCCTGGGCATGATTTTTGAGCCTGGTCTTTTCTAAACGTCAACTTTAGCATTCGTGTGTAGGAGGCTAGGCTAATACGCCTGTGGTCACCACCATCCTGGGACTCTAGTGTGCCTCTAATATTAGCACGATGTTGTGGTAGAAGTTACTGAAGAGGTCGAGAATGAGACGTCATCGAACCTATGACTCATGATGCACTTTGTCGAAAGTTACCCCACTTTGCCAGACGCGGTGTTTCTGTCTTGTTTTCATGGGACTTCCAGGCTCGTGGAGCGCGCTCGTTCTATCCTAATCCCTTATCATTCTTGGGGATTGGAAACTTGCTATGATTATTCAGGTCCTTCTAGTTCAACGATTGGCTTTCCCGAAGATGCAGCCGAGAAGAGTCGCCTTCTCCCCGGTACATATTTACTACAAGATGAACAAAGACGAAGGAGGGTAAGGAAACATGATCTAGCACCTCACCCTGCCTGGGAATTATACCGTTGTGAGGCGACTACCATAACTGCTGCTACTCATCCCTGGAACATGTTCCCTCTCCCGCCTCTCGTGGTTCTGCTCTGTTGCTTGTCCGGCGCCGCTGCCTGCCACTCCGCACGTAATTCATTGTTGAATCAGGTGATTCACCACTATCCTTGTCTGAACCTTCGACAGCTTTGTGGCGGCGCATACACCGGAGCGTGACAACTCCCCCCCCCCCCAAACACACACACACACACACACACACCAACGGAACCATCAAAGAAGACCTAGTATAAAGCCAAGTCTGAGCAAGGCGACGCTCATTATAACGTCGGTGTCTATTCTTGGTTCCCTGTTCTTCAAAGGTTCAGCACAAATGCTCCCGTCTCTGTTTCGTAGTGTGTGTCGGCAGCGCAGGGAAGAGAAGCCAGGCGGCTGAACACTTGTGTTGACTTTGGTTATAATGTCGCCTTCAGTCTCTTGTGCTGATTAACTCATTCAGAATTAACTTAAATATCAAGGTTTTAAAGATTTAATCATTTAAAAAGTATGGAGATAATGAACATCAAATAACTATATCTACAAATTAGAAAGCGTGTTTGTCTGCTCGAGTTTGGAAGCCAGATGCCTGGGGCTAGCCTCACTAAACTTTTAATAATAGATGCTGTTGGGTACATGGCGCCTAACAATGGCGGGAATGGGTTTCATAAATGAAATGAACGCCACTGGACATGGTGCTAAAGCGACCCCCCGACGAATCTTCACATAACATATTAATACGACTTTCAACTAACACAGGTCTTTCAACAACCATGTTCCTCCTATTCCCTTATACCCGCCCTTCCACTGCCTTCCGAATGTCAGTCCTTCCCTCCCAGGAGCCGGTCGGCCGAGCGGACAGCACACTGGACTTGTGATCCTGTGGTCCCGGGTTCGATCCCAGGCGCCGGAGAGAAATAATGGGCAGAGTTTCTTTCACCCTATGCCCCCGTTACCTAGCAGTAAAATAGGTACCTGGGTGTTAGTCAGCTGTCACGGGCTGCTTCCTGGGGGTGGAGACCTGGTCGAGGACCGGGCCGAGGGGACACTAAAGCCCCGAAATCATCTTAAGATAACCTGACACGGCCGCAGTCTAAAAGAAACAGGAGAACAGGAAGGAAGACGAGCAAGAAAAGCGAGATAGCATGAGCCGAAGAGTATACAGCGATTACGTCACGAAATCGCCCCCCAAAAATATTCGCCGGAACGCAAGAGAAAAAGATAGCGGAAAAAGTAAATAATTACGAGAAACGGGAGGAAGGCGACAATTACAGGTCGAGCCACAAGAACCCCTTCGGGCGAGGAATCTGCCATTCCACCACGAGTTTACAACACCAGCTCCAACACCTGTAACACTTACCTCCAGCTCCAACACCAGTGTCAACACACACAGTTCCATCTTGCAGGCAACAACCAAAGCCATACACACAGGCTACAGCAGACATCTATCACGCCATTTCCACATTATGGAGCCTCATGGTTCACACGTGCGGGCAGAGGCAGGAAGAACAGAGTGAAGAAGCCATCTTTATCTTGATCCCAGGGAGGGTAGGTCACTGTCGTCTCACCCAGAGGTGGGAAGGTCACTGTTGTCCCTCGACTGGGCAATGGTAGTAGAGGTACTCTTGTTATCTGGCATTACACTAGTAGCAGCGGTGGGATACTCTAAGTATTGACACATCTCACTGAGGGACTGACGGGGGAGGAGTACCAGGGTAATAAGGGCATTATGTCACTAGGAGTCAGAGGGGACGTTAAGTCCAATATCACTAAGACAGGAACCATTAATACACACTGGAATGGCACTTGAAAATATGACTATTTAACACTTTAAAAAAACAATTCCTACGTTCCATAACAGAGGCAAAGATAATTGAATGGTAAGGTACTTAGTACAAGAGAACCGTATTTACTAATACCGGTTGTTCACATGTGTTCATGAGATGATGTACTTAAATACACTTCCACCTCACTCTAATTTTCCCACTATCGTGTCCTCTGGATGTCCTCTCTCCTATCCAGCTGAACTTGAGGTCTTCGGCTTGCATTTGACGTGGACGGGTTAATCCCCGTAAGTTATCATGACGGCATCGTTGGGGGGGGTAGAAATAGCCTAAGCTGCTCTATCCCTTTGAGATGTATTTATTGCTTATCTCAATAAACATACTTGAACTTGAACTTGAACGGCATCGTTTAACCTCGTGATCGTTGACCGTAGTTGACCTGTAGCCTGGTTAGCGCTCTCTGAGGTGTGAATTTTCCATTGTCTTGCGCCGCTCGCCTGTGGCTGTTCAGCTGTCCATGTTGTTCTACTATGTACTGCTCTCTTGTTACATATGGAGTCAATCCCAGCAAGCACTACTAGACTAGTACATATCCCCCATCCCCCCCCCACACACACACACAGACAAACGAACACACAGACAAAGGAACACACAGACACTGACCCCTTTTCCCAGCACCATCGCGCAACCCACCGGAAATACCTGACTCAGAGGCTCTCAGACGTGAACTTGACCCCAGCGCCTTCTTCAAGACCCAGGTTATATAGCCCCCGGGGGTGAAAGGTCACCCCTATTACTACCCCGGGGGTGAAGATCACCCCTATTACTACCCCGAGGGGAAGGTCACCCCTATTACTACCCCGAGGGGAAGGTCACCCCTATTACTACCCCGGGGTAAAGGTCACATCCACTACTGTTTTCTTATCGCCTTGGGATTATTATTTGTCAATCGTTCTTGAAGTAGAATGTAGGATCTCAGATGTTAACTTAAGAGGTCAAGTCCAGCATTCTTTTTTGTGTGGTTGTGGAGAGCTGTGGCGTGAAAGTCTATATTCCAAGGATAAGTTACAGCAGGGAGAGAGTGACGGAGCTGCCTG